CGTACCAGCCGCTATATTGTTCATAGGTTCTTTGATCATCACCGAAACTCCAGCGAGCCTAGTCGAGCATGGAAAGGAGTCGTCAGGGTATACAACACTGCAAAAGATTAGGGGTGTCAAGGAAGTTGATGTCGAGTTCCAGCAGATTAAGAGAGCTAGTGAAATAGCCCAGGGAGTGAAGCAACCTTTCAAGAAACTCCTGACCCGCAGCAGCATGCCCCTTTGATTATTGGCGTCATGCTTCAAGTTTTCCAACAGTTTACAGGGATCAATGCCATATGTTTATGCTCCCGTTTTGTTCCAAACAGTCGGATTCAAGAACGATGCTTCGTTGTTGTCCTCGGTGATTACTGGACTCGTAAACGTTTGCTGTACCCTCGTCTCGGTTGTTTCGGTCGACAGGTTTGGTAGGAGGATACTACTCCTTCAAGCTTGTGTTCAGATGTTTATAAGTCAGGTATGCATCTATCCATCAGTTTTAACCTAGATATCCAAATCTTCACCAATGTTGAGTCCTCATAGCAAGTTTATATATGATACCTGCAGGTTGTAATTGGGGTAATTCTTCAACGTGACCTAAACGCCACGGATTCACTATCAAAACCCGAAGCAATTGTGGTCGTGTTTTTGGTGTGTTTGTTTGTGTCGGCTTTTGCTTGGTCATGGGGTCCTCTTGGGTGGCTGATACCTAGTGAAACATTCCCTCTCGAGACTAGAACGGCTGGATTCGCTTTCGCTGTCAGCTCCAACATGCTTTGCACCTTCATCATAGCCCAAGCATTCTTGTCGATGCTGTGCCATATGCGCGCCTTGATATTCTTCTTCTTCGGGGGCTGGATACTTGTCATGGGAATCTTCGTGTATTACTTGCTACCTGAGACTAAAAATGTGCCCATCGATGCCATGGTCGACACCGTCTGGAATAAACACCGTGTCTGGAAAAAGTTTACAGCCGATGAAAATTGAACGGGGGATGATATATATATATATATATCATATTAGGCCTAGGGGTTGTTAAATTATTTTCATTTTTCATAGGATAACTTTAGGATTTTTGTAAATGTTTTTTATAGTATAATATTTGAAATACGTATTAAATATTTTTTTATTTTCTCACTACTTGTTTGTTAAACTTATTTAAGTTTTATGTCTACGTTTCTGGGAAATAATTTCTTCTAACTTGGGTTTTTGATTTTTTTTTTGTTTTCGTCAATTTTAAGATTTAAGTATTTTTAAACTCTATGTCTAAATTTAATTTTTCCCCTTTAATTGTATGGAATTATGATATTATTTCAATTGGTAAAAATATGAAGAAAAAACTCTAAAAAAATATAATTTTAGAAACCAACGTGTTAAAATTTTTATTGGACTCATAAAATGATATAATTAAGATTTAGTCCTTCTAAAAATTATACAGGTAGAAATCAACACATTAATAAAATTATATTCTCACTCCTACATCAGAGTTAATGTAAACAAAAAATAAGAAAAAATACTAGAAAAAAATAAAAATTTAAAATATTAGATTTTATTCTTAAATAAATTATAAACATAAAAATTATTAATATATAGAACATATTTGTAACGCAAAAAAAAATACCAATACAATAAGCAATTGCATAGGTTTATAAAAGTGCATACAGTCAAATATTTGTAGAGATGCTAGACCCTTGTATGAAAGTTTTGAGCATGCTTAGATATCCCATCTTAGTATATAAGTTTTATTAAGTTTTGATACCGAGGCTCGCAAAATTCATTAAAACTATCAAAATGATCATACAGACGGTAGGTATAGATATCATGCATAAGGGTATGTAGGTAAGAAGAAAAACAACAATAATCAAAAGAAGATTAAACAAACGAGTAGGAAAGAAGATTAAAAAAAACCTCTAATTTTCTTTTAATTAAAAGAAATTAATAATGATAAGTTGTCGAGGCAAAAAATTTTTTAAAGCTAGGCGGTGATCGCTATTAATCAGAGTCTGCGGTAGGGGATGGAGCTATCGCTATCCCTACTGTTGTTGTGTTCTGCCAAGGGAGATGGACTAGTCGTTGGCTTTACCTGGTGGTTATGTTATTTGCTTGTATGTTATGATGTTTAGAAATTGGATTTTGCTTCAGTTTGTTTTGTTTTCTTAGTTGTATGTATTCTTTCCCCATCTAAGCTAGGGTGTTTTTAACGAGGCATGCAACCAAGCGATAAATTGAATTTTTTTTGCTCAGCAAGAAGATTTTTACTTAATAAGATTACTAAGAAAGAATGTCTCATTAAAAATCTTCCTAAACCTAAACCTAAACGGAGGAAAAGATTACATTCAAACTCTGAGCCAAGGGCAAGGATACAGAAACAACAACAAGGACGAACCAAACAGATATACACCAATGACAAAGCCAAAATGTAGAACTAACCCAAATGCGTAGGTGAAAGAGTCCAACAAGGACTACAAACGAGACACAACGGACTAAATAGCTCCACACAACTATCTATAGCTAACACAAGGAAAATGAGTTCCCGAATAAAGCTATCCACAGCAAAATAGGCATTTAGCAGCGTTTTTAAGCGCCGCTAAAAACTTTCCCGGCGTATATAAAAACTCCGCAAGAAGCGCCACTAAAACTAGCACTGCAAAAGGTAGCGGCGTTTTCTGAAAAATGCCGTAAAAGGTCAAGATCTATAGCGGCGTTTTTCTTAAAACGCCACAAAAGGCCAAGCTCTATAGCGCCGGTTTTCTTTAAAACGCCGCAAAAGGTCAAACTCTATAGCGGCGTTTTTCTTAAAACGTCGTAAAAGGTCAAGCTTTATAGCGGCGTTTATTTTCTAAAACGCCGCAAATGTGTGGTCATTAAAGGCGTTTCCTTCATAAAATGCCGCAAAAGAACCTCACTTTTAGTGGCTTTTATTTACAAACGCCACTATAGTTAACTGATTTCGCATATGTCATTTTCTACTTTATATTACGCAAATTTAATATTCTACATCATTATCTAATAATAATAACTTAAAATTTAATTACGACACAATTATGTTGAAAAATAAATCAAATTTTATAAAATTAAAATAAAATGTAACATAGTTCAAGATTGTTCACTAGAATTTATTCTAGGTTCTTTCTCTTTCAATAGAATAAAAACATTGTTCACTAGAATAAAAAACAATCTTCTAGTCGCAATTTTCCTTTTGGCATGCAACTTTAGTTGATTCTTTTCATCAGAAATGTACATTCAATTCAAACAACAATGAAAAACAATGGATTCAAAGACAATATATTACAAGAAGATAAACTAGAAGAAAAAGCATGATTCTAAACAATATTACCTCCTCCAAATTTCTTGCCTTCAGGATCCATGTGTAATGATTCATGAAATATGTACCATCATAAACTGCAAATTTTTAGTCAAAAGTCAAGGAAAATATCCATGAATATCGACTCAAAACATCTATAAAGGTTAAACAAAGATTTACATGCAACATGCTACGTAGTGTAGAAGGGCTATAACATATTAAAACTAAAAATGCATGCATACATATGGTAAGTACATCTCTTATACACTTTGTTGCCCTTCTGTTTCACACTTGTAAAACTAACAGGCAGCTTACAGTTCCAATGCTAACTTTCACATCAAAGATAGTTCTCCAACGTAGCAATTATTTTTTTTCGTCATATTTTCTACAATTTATTTATATTAAAACAATCATATCACTAATACCAAAAGATATGACATTTGGGCAAAAGATATGTGAAGTAAATCTGATGAAAACCAACTTGGTAATCATCTAACTGTTGTTTTCAGATCAAAATGCAAAATAGAGGCAAAGCCAGGATTAATATTTGCATTGAACACATCAAAACACCAATAGCCTCAAACATATGGATTCAATATAAGGAAATCAACCCACTAACTTTAAAAACTACATTCCCCCGGTTAAACGTTTGACCATACCTTTGTATTAATTGCCAAAACAAGATAAATAATAGCATATAACTTTCAGAATAAATTATAAATTCCTAGTGAAAATTTACTGTTTAAAGTTTGGAATGATAAATTTTGTTGGGGATTTCTCTCTTATTCTTTTTTTAGCATGTGTGTATAATATTATACATGCTGGTCTTACCTGTGACTTGATGCAGTAAGACTTCTGTAGTTTCCCGGTCTTCTGTAACGATACAATCAGTATGTGCACTGCAAATAGAGGAAAAATATTTGCATATGGACACAAGAGACAATGTTAAACAAAATTTAGTAAGAATACCAACCAAAGTATACAAAGTTCAGCGGAATCAACATGGATGATAAAAGCACACACACACACAACATTTATTGCGGCAGAAAAAGATTCTACAACAGAGGTATAAAAACGAACCCTTTCGGAGCTCCATTATTGCATTTATTGTTTCATCTCTATTGTGGTTGTTGTCTTGTCATATTAGATTAAAAAAATATTTACATATCCATAAAAGAAAAAAAGATTTTATTATTCTAGCTATCTATAAAGCAAACTATCAACTATTAGTTGAAACAATATAATGTTTATAAGAGAAATAAGATTGCAGTGGTTTTTTAGTGTTATTTTTTTATGACGAACTGGATGATAGATTGAGAGTTCCTCTTTCTCTAATCTTGTATTTATATACAGACCTTTAATGTTGGTGTTATGATTAAGGTGAACAAGACTATTTATAGGTTGACATGATAAAAAAAATTGACTAGCATGGAAGATAACAAAAGGTGTCTTAATCCTCAATTAACTTCTAAATTAGGCTTAATTTTGAATGCTAATCTAATAAGTTAATGAATAAAATACTTTAAAAAGATGTGAAGCGAATGTTATCTCACTGATATATATATGTTTACTGCAATAGAACAAGATAATGAAGCAACTAGACACTTATTGTAGGCTAACTAAGGTAAGTTAAAGCTAAAAACTTTGATCTGATATACATGTACATATATATATTTGGCAATGTTTACATTGGAGTTTAGAGATAGAGATGAGAGTTTTAGTCAAAAGTTTTCTCAATTCTGTAACACATGTAGAGAAACCCATCTTCATTTTTGAAAGAATTATAGACATACCCCATGAGACTTGCTGCAGATGTTAATGGTCGAAATTATAAAATGAAAAAAAGGTCAACAAGTTCTGATTAATCGATCGGTAAGCAAGAACCATCCATGAATACATATGTTCTTTTACCTGTTTGAGGCAATGTGTTGTTCACAAACACAAAGAGAGCTTTTCCAGGACTCAACTGCAGCCTCCTAGTTAGAATGTGAATGAACTGACCTACCGACATGTCTCGAGGAACCAGGAACCTTGGTGTTCAAACTCTATTAACAAAGAAATGACAAGAAAAGAAGAATAAAATACTTATTATTCTCTATATCTGGGAGGTTTGTCCTTGAATATCTTTCAATCATCAACTGGAGATATAAACAAACACATGGCAGGCAGGCAAAAGGTGATAAACAATCTCTTTGGGTGTCATTGAGCCGAAGCGCAGCTCTTTAGTAGTCACTTTTTGGCACAACAACATCAGAAGAGAACAATTCCTAGCTCGTGTGATGTTACACACACCAACAAACAATTTCCGGACCAAAATTTGTTCGATCAGAGATTCCAATAGACTTGACCATATTGCAGTTCATATGCTTATCTTAATTACACATAGTGTAATGCTTTGGGATGAATTAAGACAAATATATAATTAAAACTTACAGGAACTCGATCTGGGTATCTGGTTAAAATAGTTTTTGATTCTTCTTGTCGTTGCTCTGTAAATATTAAAAAAAACAATCAAAATGGTAAAAACCCAACAAAGTTCCCATTTTTAACAGTCCAAAAGCTTGTTTTTCCATTTAAAAACACAGACCCACGATAAAAATCCGCGAACAGTGAAACATAAGCTATATAGAAACAATGGGAGAAAGGTAAAATTTTGTTCAAAGTTACCTCACGAATCATGGCTAAATGTTTAGTTTCCTCTTCAACGCGGCATAACTGAAGCTGAACTTTCTCTCGAACCTCCATCTAACATGCATTTTATATTCAACTCACTCACGCTTCTCTACCAATAAAAAGAATACAAAAATATTGTCAAATTCAAATAAAAACCAAAACCTCGCGAAATTTAAAACAAAAAAAGGAAAAGAAGAGAAATTAAGCAGTAAAATGAAGGGCGAGAGAGAAAGGTTGGAAGGGAAGGGATTTGGAAAGGAATTGAAGAGAGTAAAAGGGTAAAAATGGTAGATCAGAGAAAGTTTGAGAGAATTCTAAAGCAAGCAGAAGCAGAAAGCTGGAACTTTTAGGTGTTTCTTCTTCTTCTAGGGTTCAGACGGAGGAGAAGGACGAAGCGAATAAAATTTCCCCCTTTTGTACTCGTCTTTAGGTTTTTGGGGGTACGTAGCTTGGCTTCTTTCGCTGGATCTCGGGGTTTCATCTTATTGGATTTGTATTCCAGGTTCATCTCTAGAAAAAATGAAAAAGGGTTAAAAAAGGAGTGGGACTTAGAAACCGTAACCTTGCGTGGTTTTGTATTTACAAAAGCCACTAATATACTGATAAATTGCGGTGTTTATTCAAAAACGCCACTAAAGTATGGGTATTTAGCGACGTTTATATAGAAACACCTCTAAAGTACGAATCTTTGGCGGCGTTTGTGCTTAAAATGCCACTAAAGTATAGTATTTAGCGGCATTTATACAAAAACGCCACTAAAGTACAAGCATTTAGCAGCGTTTGTGCTTAAAACACCACTAAAATACAATATTTAGCGGCGTTTATACAAAAATGCCACTAAAGTACGAGCACTTAGCGTCGTTTGTGCTTAAAACGCCACTAAAGTATAGCATATAGCGGCGTTTTATACAAAAATGCCACTAAAGAACGAGCACTTAGCGGCGTTTGTGCTTAAAATGCCACTAAAGTATAGTATTTAGCGGCGTTTGTGCTTGAAACGCTACTAAAATACATTATTTAGCGGCGTTTATACAAAACACCACTAAAGTATATTATTTAACGGCGTTTATATAAAAGCGCCACTAAAGAACAAGTATACTACAAACAAAATGGGGATTCCAAATTAGCTGCAACCCAGACCCATACGAGGAACTTACCAAATAACACTTTTCCTGGGAGTATGAGGCCAGTCGACTGCCATTAATCCCACCAAGCTTTGAATATATTAGAACGAGACAACCCTTGTTTTGCCAGTTGATCTGCCAAACCATTTCCTTCCCTCGAAACGAATACAAATGTAACTTGAGGAATCTTTTTCAACAAATTATCAACCTCGTCGAACTGATCCCACCATCGTCAGGGTCTCAAGGATATGGAGCTAATCCAGTTCATGACTGTTTGTGAGTCTGATTCAATAATCAGATTCCAACGACCATGCCAACCAGTTTCCAGGAAGAGTTCTAAGCATTTTAATTGCTGCCAATTCGGTAAGATCCGAATTCGAAGCTTCAACCGGCTCTGAGAAGATTGTTTTTAGGTTACCAATGTTGTCTCTTAATACACCCCCACACCCTGCTGTTGACCTTGAAGGCTCCATCAACGTTGAATTTAACATGCCCAGGGAGGGAGCCACTCTACGATATCTGGTTTTGAAGATAGACACCCCTTAGGATTGTTCCACTAGTCAACTTCGCAGAGAATTAGAGCGTTGTTTATTGCTTTAATCCATATGAGAGCTCTCATTAAACCAAAAAAAAAAACAACAGATCTTCTGTGATATTTTTATTTTCAAAAACTGCATGTCTGCATCATTTCTCACCAATCATACTCTCCATAAACCCTCTGCCACGGCGATTAGCCAAACTGATTTCACTGAACCAGACCATGGAACTGAGAGACAAAATTCAAAAAAAGCATCCATGCTCGCAGGGAGTGGAACAACCAACAGACCACAAATTACAGAGTTCCTAAACAATAATTGAACATGTAATCGATAAGCAAGTGATATGCAGTTTCTAGACCGATCTTACACCACGGGCAGAATGTCACAGATTCATCTAATTTAATTCAGCTAAAAGAAAATCTTTAGTTGGTATCCTGCCAATTTTCACCATCCAAATGAAACTTTTTACCTTTAGAGGTACCTTGAGTTTCCAGATTTGGTCAAATTGAAGGACGGTTCTACTAAATCGTCATTTATCTTTAATCTTTTCTCCTTTAAAGCATTTAAGTAACGATTCCTCCCATTTTCTTTCTTTATCAAAAAGGGTTCTAGGGAACTATGAGACCAATTCATTTCATCAAGGCTCCTATGCTCGGCTAGTTCCGTGATCGTTTCATTAATCTAAATAACCGAGGAAAACTAAGGTAAAAGGTCTTCCCAAAACCGGATTGATTTACCATCCACTAGTTTCCATCGGAATGCCAATTTATTTATCCATTTTTTCACATCCTTCTGAGCAATATTGAGCAAAATTCCTTTCCAAAAAGCGACATTTTTTATGTGATATATCCTATCGGCCAGCTTTGGATCAGATCTCTGTACTTAGAGGTGATCACCTTACACCATAAAGCTTCTTTTTCCAAGATGCACTACCAACCCCACTTTGCTAACAAAGTTTTTGTTTTATATTAGTCACCCTGCACCACCATTTTTCTTTGGCAAGCATACTGTGCCCCAATTAACTCTAGTAGTTTTCTGGGTCCTCCCCACAGAAAGTTTTTTCTCATTTTTTCCAGTTTGATCAGCACTGTCTTTGACTTTATCTTGGAGTAATTGTAGAAATCTGTATTTTCTTCCCTTAGAAGATTTTGAGTTCGCTTAAAATTCAGGGATCTTCAGTTTGTCCCCATCTGAACCGCTTGCTTGTGGTTTACAACCGTGGGTAAGCCCTTGCCTTCAACATTGTTCAATCCATCCACCCTTTCCGCCTAATTTGATGTTTCCGGTCCATGAACGAGTGGATATTTCTATTTGGTCTTCCATCAGATTGTTTAGCTCATTTCTCTTGAAACCAATCCACGTTATTCTAATAAAAATAGTTTTGACGATAAAAGGAATATTAAGGTTACAAAGATAGTTTAAAAGTAGCCCTAGATTTAGAACATAAAAGAAACTTATAATCATAAACATCCAAAACATTTCTAATATTTAACAAAACTAAAAAATATTGTAATGATACTAGCCCCCTTAGCGTTAACTTGAGATAAAGGTAAAATCATGTGTTTTCATTGTATTGCAGTTCAATTCTCAGAAATGATAGAATGGGTGACAAAGGGACTTGTCACTAGAAAGGAATATTTTACATGTAATTGCAATACATGATGAGATGCTGAATGACAAAATACAGCTGTCCCAAAAGATGTAGGTCCCGTGCTACTTTTTAAAATGAAGTCTTTAAAATATTTTATAATAAAACGAAATTATAAAATGAGACCCGTAAATATATATTTTTCTATTAGAAATCATGATTTTAGTAGGTTTTTTAAGAGAAACAATTATAATTCATTTATTGTGGAGTTTTTTTTAGAAAGAAATGATTATAATTCATTATTGAGATAATAAAGGAGAAAATTAAAAGATTTTTTTAAATCTTATCATGAAAATTAATAAAGGAATGATAGTATTTTTTTGGGAAAATAATTTTTATTAATAGATTTTTTAAGTTAAGGACTCTAAAATTTTAGGACACTGTAACATATCACATCTACGCTTGTAAAAGCTACACTATAGTATAAATTACTTATTAAAAATCTGAAAACGCAGAAGATGACACCGAACCAATCAGGAATTCAGGTAAAAGGAAATATATGGAGGAGTTGCATCTTATGAAACTTCCTAAATTACATCCTTTTCCTGTGTGCATAAGATGGGTTTTTATTTGCTTATTATGGCAATGGTTGCTACTTGTTAATTTATTTCGTTGGCTTGTCCTTCCTAAAAGGAATCATTTGGCTTTTTAAAGTTCAACTATAAAGTGGCAGATCGAGACATGCATTTTACTACTCTGACCATCCACATCAACCATGTATCGAGTTTTCATCCCTGGCAAGCACAAGACTAAACTGCAGTAACTGTCAGTCAATGATGACGAGACTCTGTTCTTAGGATTTCACAGAGCAAGACTAGAACTTGTGATACTTTCACATGTACATGACAGTTAGGACACGAAAACCAACAGAATACACACTTCACTCTCTTGTAACTCCAGGTCTAGGCAGCAGGGCACATATTCCGCTTTAGCAAACGGTTAATTAAAGATGATTTCCCGACATTTGGATACCCAACTATTCCAGCCTCGAACCTGGAAAAGAATGTACAAGAACACCAACATGTATATTAACATTTGATATGAAGCTTTGAATACAGGTTCAACGCTGATATTTATGTATTATAGAGTTTATTCAAATAATCTACCATGCATGCCTATGGTAAGTGTTAAACACCATATGTTCAAATTCATCACCATCGTTCGACATAAAACTTGTGGACAATTACAAGTATAAATAAACAACCGAAATGAACTTGCAAAAACTGCAGTGAAGTTAACCATTTTACCTGTAATTCAACGTGCACAAGAAGTAGTTCTTGGCGGGTGTTAAAAAAGCCATGTAATTTAAAAGCAAGGATAGGTAAGAACCTTCCCCTGCTGGTTTCTAAAAGACATTGACCCCTTTTTAAGATTCTCATATACCCATAGTACTAAATTGTGGCCGCAACATAGCTTAATGCCTGCATTGTAACGTTTTTTAAGGTTACCGTGACGCACTATCGGTGCAACGCAAATAAAGGAACCGCATCACGATTGTTGCGGTAAAAACCGTTACATAAACCGCAACACGCTATAAATTACGCCGCAATGCCGCAACAAACTTTAAATCTCAAATATAAAATTACATATATGAATTGTACTAATTTAATTCTTAAAACTGGATTATAAATATATAATTAATAATATCGTAATAGTTATGTTTAAAATTAGTTACTTTAATTTGAATTAATTAAATTATTTATTAACGCTATTTTAAAATTAATTTTAAATTGAATTTTTCTATATAAAATTGACGTGATT